CAGAAGCCACGTGGTAAGATGTAACCCTTTTAGACAAATCTTATCCCTGACTTACAGGTTGAATAACAGGATGCCTGACAGGTTGACTTAACACGTTGACTTACAGGTTGACTTACATACAGTTTGACTTAACACGTTGACTTACAGGTTGACTTACATACAGGTTGACTTACATACAGGTTGACTTACATACAGATTGACTTACATGCAGGTTGACTTACAGGTTGACTTACAGGTCGACTTACATACAGGTTGACTTACATACAGGTTGACTTACAGGTTGACTTACAGGTTGACTTACAGGTTGACATACAGGTTGACTTACAGGTTGACTTACAGGTTGACATACAGGTTGACTTACTGGTTGACTTACAGGTTGACTTACAATGGGTTTTTATATTCATCATGTTTCCATGAAAAATTAGCTAATAGACTTTGCAAAACAGAAATCAATCAGTCAAAACATCATTCAATCGATGAATCAGTCAATGTATCAACCAGTTAGACAAAATACTAATCAGTCGATGTAGCAATTGGTTAATGAATCCAGGAATCAGTTAATGATTGAATCCATTCATCCACCAGTCCTTCAATCCACTAAATACTCCGTCTTCTGGCCCAGTCTGTTCTGACGTCAGACTGTTGAAACTTCCATTGTGAGGGACGCAGGACGAGGTCACTCAAACATATATAACGTCTGACTGACGCCTTGTTCCTTTCTTCTCTCGCTTTTAGCCTGGGCTTTGAAATCGGAATCAAAATGATATCTTTAACGGCCAAGTTAATTTCTAAAGGCCAGCAATCCCCCCCCCCCCAAAAAAAAAAAAAAAAAAACCTGTGTTGCAAAACTACAGTATCTGTTAATATAGTGTCCAACTACAGTATCTGTTAATATTGTGTCCAACTAAAGTATCTGTTAATATAGTGTCCAACTACATTATATGTTCCACTATCTGTTACTATGCAAACTCTAAAACCAGGTTTATGATGGACGCGACCCAAGCAAACTTTGAGGCTCCGAAAGCATCTATTATCTTTTATATTTCCACTATCAGGAGCGTGGCCTTATGTGGGTTAAAATATGATTAAACAGCTCATTTCTCATTTCATTTCATTTACTTAATAGGGAGTGTTTTATGATTATACATAGTGTGGCAAATTTTACTTTTTCATTCGCCACTAAAGTGGATATTTAGGAAAAATAAGGTTGCCCACCTGGGTCTGGCAATGATGGCACGCTTCACAGCGTTCAGACTTCAGGTAAATTTATGCTCAAGTCACACGATCACATTTTCGGCACATTTCTTTTTCAACGCACCAGAGTGCGTAAACAAAATAGTGCGTTCAAAAAGAAATTTGACGAAAATTTGATCGTGTGACCTGAGCATAACACTCAACACAATGTTCTCATGTAATGGGAAAAGCTAGCTTAAACATAACACTCAACACAATGTTCTCATGTACTGAGCTAAGCTATCTTACACATAACACTCAAACACAATGTTCTCGTGTAATGGGCAAAGCTAGCTTACGCATCGCGCACATGAAAGACGTTCATTTTGGTACACCAATAAAAACTTAATTTAAACGTTCATGAACGACCCAGCCGAAGCGGAAAATCATGATTTTTTCAATTGCAGAAGTAGAACTCATATCATGAAAAACAAGACCGTGGATCTCCGGATCCAGACAATTCACATGACACGAAATGCGTTTTTTTTTTCAGCAAACACACTCTCAGGAACACAACTATCAAAACTCCACGTTCACAACACCATTCATGATTACAGACATCTCACCACGCAGGCGATGACACATCAAATTAGAGTAACTTGCCCCAATGCAACCACGAGTCAACTCTTCCTCACAACTTTTTAATGATTGGAGAAAAAAAAAATTATTGGTTGCTTAGAGGGCACCAAGTGAAATCACTGACTTGGCAGTGTTTAGGAGATGTTCTAGCAGATAACTAGCATAATAATAGGGAAAAATGCTTACGTCTGAGTAGCCCCTTAAGCAACCACCTGCCCGCCCTGCAACCAATGATTTGCCCTAAGTGCAACCACCTGACCACAGTGCAACCACAAAGGTGCCCTCACTGAAACCAGTTGTGATTTAAAGCTAAGGATCTCCCAATACACTCACACAGATACACACATAAAAACATACATAAATGTGACACATATAGACTAGACTACAACATTAAAACAAATAACTCATGCATTTTTTTCATGACATTCATGGTTGATTTTTATTTAATTCTAACTAATAAAAAAAATTGCATTCTGAAATAGACTCTAGTCTAGACTAGTCTAGATCTAGATCTAAATCCTCAAAATCATCTTCCGACTCGTCATCGAAAATCATTTGAGACTCATCAATGCTTGTATCGGTTTCAGAATCATCCATTTTGTTTGTCTTTCTCTTCTTCGGCCCTTTCCCTTTTGAATTGTCTTTCAGCTGTCTTTTCTCTTCCAGTTTCCTCTTCCTGTCTTCTTTTCGCCTTTGGTTTTCTTCCTCCCTCTGTCTTTTTTGTTCTTCTCGTAATTTTATTTTCTCTTAGTTTCTTTTTGCTTTCTCTTCTATAGCCTTTAATTTCTCTTCTTTTTTTTTTTCCTAGGTCTATTTTTCTTATGGCCTTTCTTTCTTCTTCCTCTTTTTCTGCCCGGTCTTTGTTTATCAGATGGTCAATGAATTCTTTTCCACTGATCAGTGGTGGGAGCTTTTGTTGTGTTCTTCTTCTCATGGAGCTCTGTTTCAGAACAGGCAATGACAGTGGATCCTTTGCAACATTAGGTGGAGGATTTTGTCTGCTTGATTTGCAATGGTGCAATAGGATATTCCCATGATAAAGCTTCCATAATCTGTACAATGGGTCATCACAGTCATAACCCTCTTCCAGCCTTTCATAATACAGCCTTAACTCTGGTTGCACAGGGGGCAAGTTACTCTACCACTATCAGGATACGAAAATAGTTGATGGTGATTGACTACTGAACCTGATCTATATTTTTATGAGTGTACACTATGATGGCGTCATTTCATAACTCCATAACTGGAAACAAAAATCTGCTCTTACTTAGCGAAAGTGATGATGGTGATAATATGCTTATGATGGTGATAATGTGGTAATGGTGGTATGAAGGTGATGATGATGGTGAAGATGAAGGTGGTGATGGTGATGAAGGTGATGATGGTAGTTGTGATGGTGGTAGTGGTGATGGAGGTAGTGGTGATGGAGGTAGTGATGGTGATGATGATGGATATAGAGTGGAGGTTATGGCGGTGTGATGGTGATGTGACTGAGCTTGTGATGATGTTGGTGGTGGGGAAGGTAATGGAGGTGCTATGGTGGTTGTGATGGCGGTGATGATTGTTCTGGTAGGGGGTGGTGATGCTGAAGGTGGTAATGAAGGTGATGGAGGTCGTGGTCGTGACGTGACTGGGGTGGTGATGGTGGTGGCTTGGCAGGTGGGGGTAGTGTTGATGATGACAGTGGTGATTGTGATGGTGGGAGTGAAGGTGATGATGAAAAGGTTCAACACCACAATGTCGTCTGATGATCACAATGTGTACTTTGGATTCAACTTCAATTACCTGTTAAATTTTTTCACAATCTTTATTTCGAACGTGTGACATACTTTAATTTTTGGGGTGGAGTTCCGAGATTTGTGACAAAATTTGACAAGGGGGATTGGCTATAACCTTTATGGTCCGCGCTCGCATAGAGTACACAATCACAACGTTGTGCTACCGCTGCTTACATGACCTGGCGCCGTCCTATCTGAAAGAGCTGCTGACGCCTTATGTACCCACTAGAGAGCTCCGCTCATCCGATAGTGGCAAACTCTCGACACCACGTGTTCACCTTGAGACTTACGGAAAGCGCACTTTCGCATTTGCTGGTCCAACAATTTGGAACGCCCTTCCACTCGATCTTAGAAACAATCAGACACTGGAGTCCTTTAAAACCGATTTAATTAAAGACACATCTATTTCGCAAACACCTTCTGGGATGATTGTCTACCTTATTTTCCAGTTAATGCATAATGGCTGTGTTGCTTAGGGTTGAAATGGCTAGAAAGACTTTGACATTGTATGCTTTTAATTAGTTTTTGTAGTGTTGCATTTGTTTTAAATGTGGTAAATTATAGATTTGTTTTTTGTTGACTTTGTACCTCGCTTCGAGCCTTTGGGGATAAAGCGTGTTTTTGAAATACACTTTATTATTATTATTATTATGGGTGGCCCAACACAACACACCCGTTAAATTGGAATTGGTTTTCTTGTTCGTTGAACGCATGAATCGATCTGAACATTTCCCACAATCCTTCTATTGTTGTGTGGGTGTCGCCTCTCGCCACAGCGGACAGCCCTTCAACCATGTCGACTTCCCGTCATTCCCACGGCACGCTTCCATTGTCCCACCGGGAACATGGCCCGGACTCCCGGCAGACATCCCGTGATCTGTAATTTAATTCTGCCACGTTGTTATTCCAAAGCATTAGCAATGGACGACTTAATCTGTGACGTCCGAAATCTGGCACACTCTCCAACTGCCACATTATGTTCAAGGAATGAATTACTTTTTTTTAAAAAATCCTTAATTTAAATAGTAATAGGCACACGTGGGTACAGGGACACGCTTCAGTAGTGACACACTTCAGTAGAGAGACACACGTGAGTACAGAGACACACGTGAGTACAGAGACACACGTGAGTACAGAGACACAGGTGAGTACAGAGACACACGTGAGTACAGAGACACATGTAACTAACAATAACAAAACGCAAAAAAAAAAAAAAAAGACAATCAAATGAATGTTTCTGCGTAGTGTCTTCGTCTACAAATAAACACAACAACAACACAAGAGGATCAAACAGAATTTACATATGAGATTGACACAAGCTTTTGGAAAGTGTAACCAACAAGTTGTTTGGAGAGTAGGGGAAACACGTTGTTTGGAGAGTAGAGGAAAAAGAACAAAGTAAACGATAAATGACCTAAAATAATTTCATTTTTATTTGTGGCCAAGATTTACAGGCGGTAAACCAAAGATTTACATGTTGTAAACCAAAGATTTACAAACGGTAAACGTAGACATGTCCCTCGTCATAGGACGGGGCAAATAACTCCACATGACCGTCGCCGTCAACATCCGCGAAACTTAAACCGCCAACTGTACTTGTTCCTGTTGTGAGGAAATCATTGCGCGTGTAGACCCAGCTATGGGGGTCTGTGGGGGACGTGGGCACCAGAAGGGAGACCACTGCAGAGTCATCCCCAGCAATAAAGATGGAAGGTTTCCTTCCGGTACTGCAAAAAGATGATTTTTTTTTTTTGAATTGATACCGATGCAAACAAATTAGAATGATAAGATAAACGTTCTTCCTTATCCCCAGAGGTCCTTTACCGAGTTACAAGTTCTCACCAATCCACAAGTTCTCACCAATCCTCAAGTTCTCACCAATCCACAAGTTCTCACCAATCCACAACTTCTCACCAATCCACAAGTTCTCACCAATCCACTTGCCACTCACCAACACAAAGGCATTCCAACAATCTATAAGTCCTACACCAATCTATTTGTCATCCATACACTTGACCTTCTGTCTACTCCTCCACGTCATTCAGATTTTCAACACATAGCGGCCTGTGTGGTCATCAATATCAAACAGTTTGTACTAAAAACAAATCAATATAAAACCAGTTTGTTTGGAGACCATTAATTGTATGACCTCTGTGTGGTTGGCAGGATATTTACCTTGTAGTGACAGGACATTTACCTTCCATGGCCATGACTTGCCTTAAAGTGACAGGAATTTTACCCTGTAGTGACATGAATTACCTTGTAGTGACAGTATATTTACCATGTGACAAGACAGGGAAACTACCTTGTAGCAATAGAATTGGACATTTATCTTTTAGTTACGGTGCAATTTCCTTGAAATGACAGAATGTTTACCGTGTAGTGACATGACTTACCTTGTAGTGACATGACTTAGCTTGCAGTGACATGACTTACCTTGTAGTGACATAACTTACCTTGTAGTGACATGACTTACCTTGCAGTGACATGACTTACCTTGTAGTGCCAGGACTTACCTTGCAGTGACATGACTTACCTTGTAGTGCCAGGACTTACCTTGCAGTGACAGGACTTACCTTGCAGTGACAGGACTTACCTTGTAGTGCCAGGTAAGAGGTATGGAGATCCTGGACCGCCCTTGTTTAGCCCCAGAGAGTGGACAGCGTAACCATCAGCCAAGAGATGACGTGTGTAATGACCGGACCTAGAGAATGGACAGTATACAATCAGCCCAGAGACAGGGTGTGTAAAGAGAGGGCCTGGTTGTCCCATGTCCTATACAGATACCAGTGTCACTTATCCAATATCCTATACCAGTGTCACCAGTCCCCTGTCCAATCGAATAGTGTGTATCGCAGAATATGCGTCTGATCTCTCCCGACACATCTCACGTAGAAAATGAATCAAAGGAAACGCAATGGGCATTGCACAGTGATTTTAATTTAATGATAATAAGACTGGTATCACAAAATACAAAATAAACATAATTTTTTTACTATGTTTTATTGACTCATCTCTTCATGTATTTCTGTCATACTCATCATATATTTATATAAATGCGTCTGATTTTCATATTTTTTTTATTCTCTTCCTATCACATTTCTTCCTGTGACTCTTGTGTGCCATTTACTGATAGCCTATTATACGAACTTAAAAGGACTTGCAATTAAATTAGGGTTCATAGAAAGTTCTCTGTCACTAAAACACCGAAAAATTAAGAATTGAACACCCAAACATTAAGACTTGAACACCGACACAAGAGAGACAAATATAAACTTAATGAAGATCTCCCCTCCTCCAGTTGAAAAACAAGTAATAATCCACCCCACCCCACCCTACCCCAACATGTATGAACGACGTGTCTGTACCTGAAATCAGTGGGCACCTCGTAGACCACAACTGTACCATTGTGGTCACTGTTGGTGGTCACTAGGATGTCCAGCTTGTGGTCGCCATTGATGTCAGCGACCAGCACATCAAAAGGTTTGCCTGCTGTGCTGTCCACCACCAAGCTCCTCACCTAAAACCACACAGGGCACGTCAATGAGAAAGGGTTGGGCACCCCTGCTGTGAGGGAATACTACAAGAGTCATATTAGCCTCTAGGCCACCACAGCAGAAAGAACGAGTCACGAAGAAATCCTCGAGTCACGAAGAAATCCTCGAAAACAAAAGTTATGTAACTGTCCAGGGTTCCCCCCCCCCGTAAAAAAACCCCACCATTAGCAAAGGGTAAATTAAACATAACCAGCGTTGAATCAAACTGCACACGGATAATTACAAATCGATCAATATAATGTAGATCAAGTGCAACAAAAATGATGACCCCCCCACCCCTTAAAAAATAATAAAACATCAACATTTTAAATAAAAAATATTTTATAATTTAAAAAAGTCCCCCCCCCCTCCCGGGTCGATTGCAACTCTTAATGAGTGGTCATAATTTAGTTGGTCATAATTTTAGTGGTCCATAATGTTAGTGGTCATAATTTTAGTGGTTCATAATGTTAGTGGCCATAATTTTAGTTGGTCATAATTTTAGTGGTCCATAATGTTAGTGGCCATAATTTTAGTTGGTCATAAATTTAGTGGGTCATAATGTTAGTGGTCATAATTTTAGTTGGTCATAATTTTAGTGGGTCATAATTTTAGTTGGTCATAATTTTAGTGGGTCATAATGTTAGTGGCCATAATTTAGTTGGTCATAATTTTAGTGGATCATAATGTTAGTGGTCATAATTTAGTTGGTCATAATTTTAGTGGGTCATAATTTTAGTGGTCATAATTTTAGTTGGTCATAATTTTTGTGGTCCATAATGTTAGTGGTCCATAATGTTAGTGGTCATAATTTTAGTGGGTCATAATTTTAGTGGTCCATAATGTTAGTGGTCATAATTTTAGTTGGTCATAATTTTAGTGGTCCATAATGTTAGTGGTCATAATTTTAGTTGGTCATAATTTTAGTTGGTCATAATTTTAGTGGTCCATAATGTTAGTGGTCATAATTTTAGTTGGTCATAATTTTAGTGGGCCATAATGTTAGTGGCCATAATTTTAGTTGGTCATAATTTTAGTGGGCCATAATGTTAGTGGCCATAATGTTAGTGGCCATAATTTTAGTGGGTCATAATTTTAGTGGTCCATAATGTTAGTGGTCATAATTTTAGTGGGTCATAATTTTAGTGGTCCATAATGTTAGTGGCCATAATTTTAGTTGGTCATAATTTTAGTGGTCCATAATGTTAGTGGCCATAATTTTAGTTGGTCATAATTTTAGTGGGCCATAATGTTAGTGGCCATAATTTTAGTTGGTCATAATTTTAGTGGGCCATAATGTTAGTGACCATAATTTTAGTGGGCCATAATTTTAATGGGTCATAATTTTAGTGGGTCATAATGAAAGTGGTTATTAACTTTAGTGGTTCATAATTTTAGTAGGTCATGATGTTAGTGATCATTAAGCAGCAGTAGGCAAAACTGTGCCAACCAAAGAAATTGTTCAATAAACATCGAGCCGAGGTGACCAGCAGCCGATCACGTGAGATTCACTTACCGAAGCTTTGTCCGACCAGTCCTGTCGCGCATTCTCCGTCCAGTATACGCTAACCTTGGGGTTGAAGAACTCGGCCACAACGATAGCCTCGTAGCTCCTGGTGCCGACCTTGAAGGTGGTCACGGTGAAGAAGATGTCCGGCCCGGCTGCAATGATGTTCTCATGCCAGGGCGTGGCCACCGAGTGACCAGGTGGGTTAGTGAACCACACCAGCTCTCCCCTGGCTGCTCCTGTGGAAGACATCTGCTGTTGTACAGTGCTGTTCTAGTTTGGACTCTAGACCTGCTGTTGTAACGTCTGTTTCCACCATTCGTTTTAAAGGAGGAGAGAAGAGCCATGCAGCAAGTAAAGACCCGTACCAGAAGTAAGGAGCCGTGCCAGAAGTAAGGAGCCGTAGCGTAACTAAAGAGACATACTGGAAGTGCAAGTAATTAGCTGTACCGTTAGTAATAAAAACGGTTGCATTATTTTCTCCTTCCTTGTGTGTTTGTTTTACTTTCTCCATACTCGATTGTGCTCAACACAGTTTGCCCGGGTTCAATGTGATGTTCCAAATTATCAGTCATGGGCTTGTTAGCCCAAAACTTCAACTCGATACCAGCAACTTACCAATCATGGGTTTGCTCTCCCACTTACCAATCGTGGGTTTGTTCTCCCACTTACCAATCGTGGGTTTGTTCTCCCACTTACCAATCATGGGTTTGCTCTCCCACTTACCAATTGTGGGTTTGCTCTCCCACTTTCCAATCATGGGTTTGTTCTCCCACTTATCAATCATGGGTTTGTTCTCCAACTTACCAACATGGGTTTGTTCTCCCACTTATCAATCATGGGTTTGCTCTCCCACTTACCAATCATGGGTTTGTTCTCCCACTTTCCAATCACGGGTTTGTTCTCCCACTTTCCAATCACAGGTTTGTTCTCCCACTTACCAATCATGGGTTTGTTCTCCCACTTTCCAATCACGGGTTTGTTCTCCCACTTATCAATTGTCGGTTTGTTCTCCAACTTACTAATCACGGGTTTGTTCTCCGACTTACCAACATGGGTTTGTTCTCCAACTTACCAATCACGGGTTTGTTAGCCCGACACGTCAGAGCGTCCAGCGTGCCGTCCTTGTTCATGTCCACCCACAACACGCGGTGGTAGAACCAGCTTCCACTCCCACTCGAGATGGTGGACAGCGTGGGGTGCGGGGCGTCCAAGTTGTACAGCTGGATTGACCCATCCGTCTTGGTGGGAACCAGGAACCCGTCGGGGATCGCTACGTAACGGCTGTTCAAGGCTCTAACTGGAATAATTTGAAATGATTGGGTTAGTGCTGCCAATGAATGTCATCCGCAATATTTTGACATATGGATATTTAAATTGATTGGGTTATATATATCGCTGAGAAGGCAATAACAGGGAATGTTCAACGTAAACAATAGCATGTGATGTTCAATGTAAACAATAGCAGGTGATATTCAACGTAAACAATAGCAGGTGATGTTCAACGTAAACAATAGCAGGTGATATTCAACGTAAACAATAGCAGGTGATGTTCAACGTAAACAATAGCAGGTTATGTGCAACGTAAACAATAGCAGGTGATGTTCAACGTAAACAATAGCAGGTGATGTTCAACGTAAACAATAGCAGGTGATGTTCAACGTAAACAATAGCAGGTTATGTTCAACGAAAACAATGACAGGTGATATTCAATGTAAACAATAACGGGGGCGGTGTTGTCTTACTCGGGACACCCGAGATCTCGTTGGGCCATTTTAAGGCGTGTGAGAACGACACCGGCTTGATCTTGGTGACGTCACCCAGGAGATTCCCGACATCGGCCACCGTGCTGACATCACTGGTTAGGGCGCCAAAGCTGGTGAGGAGCAGGTCGTATCCAGAGTTGCCGGCCCGGGGGTAGAGGGCGGAGAACGCCGCGTGGGGGTAAGAAAATTTACCCAACAGGAGGGGGGCGCCATGGATACAGGCGAGGAGCAGGACGAGGGGAAACAATCGCATTAATGCCATCATGGGGGACTTTCTTTTATTACTTCCCCTGCAATTAAAAAAAAATGTAAATATGGGAAACATCTAGAGCAGTGGTTCTTAACCTTTTGAAGTCGGGGAGCACTTTTGATCATGACAAAAAATTTGGGGAGCACCAAAATCAAGGATTAAAAAAAACAAACAATACACATACGTACGACTTTTATTGAAAATAAAACATTGGAACATAAGAGTTTAAAATTATAACATGACAAACAAATTTTTAATAAACTTAAATTTAATAAGTAAAAAAATAACATTGTTCAAAATTTAATTCAGAAAAATAAAAAGATTTAATGTGAAACCTGAGCTTGACGGTTTTTACAAATTTCAGTGATATTAGGCCTAATTTTAGAAATAGCTACCCTCAATTCTTCATCCAAATTAGTAAGTGTTGCTCGTTTTTTAGTTTTTATTATGGTGACTATCGAGAAACCGAGTTCACACAAATATGATGTTGAAAATTGCAACAAGATTTTAAGTGCCTTCATGGAGAGAGCTGAGTGTTCTTCTTGCACAAAGATCCAAAATTCCTCCAGAACCAATTTGGAAAATTTTATTTTAAGTGTACGATCCGATGATATGTTGATTAATTCTTCTTCTTTTTGGTATGACAACTTACTATTTGATGTATCAACCGTGGCAAAGGGATTACGTATCCAGTCATATGTTTCTACGTTTATTGATGGAAAATAAAATTCAATCTTTTCTTCTAATAAAGTTAAATGCTCTGTTACTGCTGAAATAATTTCGTCGGTAGTGTTATCATTAAGAGAAGGAAAGATATCTACTTTCTTTTTCTCCAACAAACGATTTTTCCAAAAAATAACTTTTTTCCGAAAGGCTGTCAATTTGTCGGTCGATGTTAAAAAATTTTCTTTTCTTCCTTGAAGGCTGGTATTAACACAATTTAAATAATCAAAAATATCAGCTAAATATGCCAATTTAGCACACCAAATGTCATTTTGAAGATATTCCACAAAATCATCCATATTTTCATTTTGGAAAAAGGTCATCAATTCATCCTTCAGTTCTAAGAAACGACGTAACACTTTTCCTCTGGATAACCATCTCACTTCAGAATGCAAAAGCAAAGATTCGTACTTGGCTTCCATAGAGATGCAAAGATTTTTAAAGACGCGTATTTTCAAAGGTCTCGATTTTATGAAGTTTACCATATTGACAACTTTGTCTAGCACAGGTTTTAATGCTACTGGTAATGTTTTGGACACCAGAGATTCTCTGTGCAAAAAACAGTGAGTAGATATAATATTGGCGTTTCTTTTCTCGGCGAGAGTCACAAACCCTTTTAATGAGCCTACCATTGATGGAGCACCGTCCGTACAAATTCCCACACACAACTCCCATGATATTTTGAATTGTTCGAAATAGGAAGAAATTGTGGGTAGCGTTGTTCTCAACGGCGGCGCTCCGAGTGAAATTTACACACGGATTTGATTTTACAACAAAAATTAGGTTAAAAACCAAGCTTTCAATTGATATAAAAAACAGTAAAAATAGGCAAAAAGGCCGATTTTTCCCCGTTTGGACTACCTATTAAAATTAAAAGCATTTGTTCAGCTCAATCAGATAGAGTAAGTGAGTGAACATTAAATTTTGAGTTTCATAATTTCGCGGAGCACTTGCAACTACCTCGCGGAGCACCAGTGCTCCGCGGAGCACCGGTTAAGAACCACTGGTCTAATCAGTAAAAAATAATAATCTAATCATTTCACAACGAAAGGATTTTTTTTTAAATAAAAAAAAAATTTGTTTGTGATAGATCTAATTGTTTTTAGCATCTGCAAAAAAATTGTTTTTTTATGTATTGAAAAATAAAGAATAAAAATTATTGATTGATGTTGAAATTTATATCGCGCAGGTATCCATGCCACTTTATCAGACTCAGCGGAAGCTACCAACAGTTTAAAAAAATTAAAAAACAGCTGATTCAATTAAAGAATTATGAAAAAATTGTGTTGGGGGGGGGCTGACAAAACAATCTTTTAATTATGGTAAAAGTCAAACAAAGGTCGGTATTTGATAAATACTTTCTTTTGATGACGTGGGGTGACTTAAAATATCAAGCTCCATGCAGGCCTGTGTGACAGCTGCAGTACCATTTCGGTCCCCTAACAACAACCAAAAATTTTGCTCTAGCCTTCTCCGGCCCACAAAAATTCAGTTAAAAATATATTTAACAAAAAAAAAAAAAAAAAAAAAAAAAAAAAAAAAAAAAAAAAAAAAAAACAAATTAAAAAAAAAAAAAAAACAAAGAAAAAAAAAAGTAAAAAGTTTTCATGGGGGGGGGGAGGGGGG